TTTTGCTTCATAATCTCTCATTGTCTATAGTTTCTCTACATTTTCCTGTAGTTTTAGGTCCACTACTTGATTAACTCATAATAAAAATGGAGATTAGCTGGTGGTCATAGATTATATAACAACTTCAAGCTGCCTAAGATACAAACCATTAAATTGTAGTTCTTTAAATTTACAAATTAATGGGCTGTTTACAAACTAACTGGCAATAGGAAAGCTTAAAGGTGAAATGGAAGATGTTCTGGATACATTTTTCAAAATTAATTATATTTATTTCATATGATATTAAATATTTTTGGTTAATATGTCCATTTTGATGTACACTAGAGAGTTCCTCTAACAGAACAAGGGGACACTGCATAGTTTAAAATCAGGAAAGGAGTGCCTCAGGGTTGTATCCTTTCCCCATACTTATTCAATCTATATGCTGAGCAAATAATCCAAAAAGCTGGACTATATGAAGAAAAACGTGACATCAGGATTGGAGGAAGAATCATTAACAACCTGAGATATGCTGATGATACAACTTTGCTTGCTGAAAGTGAGGATGACTTGAGGCACTTACTGATGAAGATTGATAAATAGAGTCTGCAGTATGGATTACATCTCTATATAAAGAAGACAAAAATCCTCATAACTGGACCTATAAGCAGCATCACGATAAATGGAGAAAAGATTGAGGTTGTCAAAGAATTCACGTTGCTTAGTTCTACAATTGACACCAAAGGAAGCAGCAGTCAGGACATTAGACAATGTGTAGCACTGGGCAGGTCGGCTGCAAAGGAACTGTTTCAAGTGCTGAGGAGTAAGGATGTCTCCTTGAGGACTAAGGTGCGCCTGACACAGGCCATGATATTTCCAATTGTCTCGTATACATATGAGAGTTGGACAATGAATAAGGAAGACCGAAGAAGAGTTGATGCTTTTGAGTTGTGGTGCTGGCAAAGAATGCTGAAGGTACCATGGACTGCCAAAAGAACTAACAGACCTGTCCTGGAGGAAATGCAGCCAAGATGCTCCTTGAAAGTGAGGATGGCCAGACTTCATCTCACCTACTTTGGTCATGTTGTCAGAGGGGACCATTCCCTGGAGAAGGAAGTCATGCTTGGTACGGCGGAGAGTCGATGAAAGAGGGGAAGGCCTTCGACGAGTTGGATTGACACTGTGGCTGTGACATTGGGCTGAAGTATAGCAAGGATCATAGAGCTGGTGCCCGATCAG